CCGCCGCTGTCGCCGCCGAAGGTCTTCTTCTCTGCCGCCAATGGTCTTCTTCTCTACCGCCGTCGCGAAGGACACCGCCGCTGCTGTCGGAGATAAACTTTTCTTCTCAGTAGATCTGCTTCTTCTCAAACTGTTCTACTCCGTTTCTTCTTTCATTGTTACAAAATGTCAAATTAAATCTGAAAACGCCGTATAAATGGCATTTTTAGTCTTGAAAAATTTTGTATTTTCATTTGGAAATGCCATTAAGCTGGCATTGTGATAAAAATCTTGCCATTTACGCTGGAAACGGACAGATCTGTAACTGAGGAGCTCAGATTTGTAGCAGCGGATGCCAGAGTAGTTGCGAAAGTGGCATTCTCAGTAGATCTGCTTCTTCTCTGAATGTTTTGCTACGTTTCTTCTTTCATTGTTACAAAATGCCAAATTAAATCTGAAAACGCCGTATAAATGGCATTTTTAGTCTTAAAAAATTTTGTATTTTCATTTGGAAATGCCATTAAGATGGCATTCTTATAAAAAACTTGGCATTTACGCTGGAAACGGGCAGATCTGTAACTGAGGAGGTCAGATTTGTAGCAGCAGATGCCAGATTAGTTGCGAAAATGGCTGGATCTGAAGAGTGACGACTGACGGCCGACGGAGGCTCAATCCGGCGACGCCCTCTAGATCTGCAATGGCGGTGGGCTGATCTGTGACAGCGGCTAATTTTTGAGGTTGTCGGCGACCGGCGGCGACCGGCGGCGACCGACGGCGACCAGCGAATGGGTGTGGTCCAGTGTTGTGGTCTGCGGGAGTATGACTTCTAAGCTTCAGGGGTGTTTTTGTCTGATTACAAATAATAACTCTTATTTGGGGAATTTTTAAACTTTGGTCCTAGTTTGGCAATTAAAGACTGATTTACTCCTATTTAGGTAAATACCTCATTAAAATATGTAAATTGTAGGGAGTAATACATGCCACTGGTCGACATCGTCACCATCGACCCATCTTCCCTCATCCTGTCCGTCGCCCTCGTAGCTCTGTAGCCGCCCGCACGTCCACATCCGCCTCCCGCGGACGTCGTCTGCTGCACCCGCGAAAAAACTCCTGACGTCTTTCCGACTCACTACTTAGCTAGGTAAACCAAATTCAAAATTAAATTTCAGATTTTGTTCAAAATAGAAAATTTTCAGATTCAATTATTGAATTTTTATGATATGTGTTTCAGAATGTTTTAGTTCAAGTACCAATTGACAATCTTTTGTTCATTTAATAAATTGTAGTTCTCTGAAATTTCAATTAGTGAAACTTAGGAACAAAAGAATTGTAAAGAATTTCTGCACACCCTTCTTTATTCGATCATTCCGGCCCCAGGTCTTTATCTTGTTTTTTAATATTTAATGCAGATCATATGTCTTCAGTTTATAATCTTGAATTTAATCTCATTTTTTAATTTCTGTCTTGTTGTAAAAAAACACTTCTCAGTTGTTCATTGTTTCTAACCCAACTTCCAATGAGAAGAAGTGATATAATCTGGTTTAGGTTTTTGTGTTAACAACTTAAATTGAGTTACAGCTTATAACAAAAGCTTAAGTTTCTCTTTGACGTGTAAAGATAGTTTCTGGACTTGCTGAAATACTGTTATAAATACTTTAGCAGTGCACTATGATCGAATTAATATATCAATGTGATTTTTTTAAAATACAACTCTGTTGGCAACTTTTTATAAATAACATTGAAAGCTTTCTTGCTGTTAACAGGGGCGAGTAGTATCATATATGTTTGATAAGCGTATTCTCAAATTTCTTTTACTTCACCAAGAAAGCGAACAACCATAAATTTTTCAAAAAAAATTCTGAACATGAATGATTGGAATATACCATATCTCATTATCACAACAATGTGGTTGGTGACTAACTAAATTTAACAATAGTATTTAAGTATTAACCCCATTGTTTTTCATATGATAGTTACTTGTAATAGATCTTTTTAATCCCATGTGGTGGATTGTTGTAGAGTTGAATTTGTGATGTTTTTTTTACTTGACTTTGATGAAAACTTCTATTCTTGTAAAATATTTGTAAAATTTCTTTTTGTATTTTACCTCATTGCAATTGCAGTAATTTTATATGTACTAATTTTTGACCCACTCTCAATTCAAATGCTAGAACCGCCCCTGAATGTAAATACTACTCCCTCCGTCCCATTCAAAGGTTCTCGTCCACTATTCACATGGTCAACTTAAATCATTTTTAATCTTTTGCTTTATATATCAAAGTTTTATCAAGTTTACATTTTTTATCAGGCTTTGTAGCGGTTTTAATGTAGTTTCTGAATATGTAAATTTTATTTACTAAAAATAATCATTGTGAACAAGGATTAAGTTGCTTTATCGTCAGTCAAGCATCGTAAACCATAATTGGAACCTCCTAATGGGACGGAGGGAGTATGTATTTTGATTTGGACTAATGAATGATTGACATAGATTGTATACAAACATAGAGATCCCAAATTAGGTAAGAGCAGAGCATGAACAAAATTACAGTAGAAATATTAAATAAGATATGAACATATTTATGTGACATTTAAAATCAAAATCAAGAAATTTTCAACCCCTTTTCTCCTGGAATAAGATTTATAACCCCTCAAGAATGTCTTATTGCAGTCTGCAGACAGCTCTGAAGACATCACTACCAGGTCACCACCAAAAACTTCTTATTTCCGACAGGTCTGAAGAATTTTATGGCTTATTTTTACTGGCTGTGATGGTCTGCATCAAAGTTTTAATCTCAAATTACTGGGTTGCAAGTGCTGTGTGAAATAGCTATATACAGGGCTGCAATTAGAGTTTCTTAATCATTATTGAAGATTAATGTGGTGTCTTTCCATTTACACGTGTCTCTTCGTGTTTCTATGTCTTGACTCTTGAGAAGATAAATCATAATAAATGTTTATTTGGAATTACTGATTAGTTGTGTAGTACTGCAGTGTCTTCATTGTATTTATTGAGAACCAAAACTTTATTTCTACGATGGTGCTACCAAATATAATCATTCCGTGTGCCAACTTTTGGAATGTATATATACTATATATATATATTATTTGATAGTATTTTATTATATTAGTTGTACTAAAGTTCTCAATTTTTTAAGTTCATGTTAAAAAATCATGTATCTCGCTAACTATCAATTTCATTGATTGACTATTAGTTTATTACTTTAACATATTAATCAATGATCGATTTCTCTCTAGCATTGGACCTCATCCTATGGGCATTTTTATTACAAAAACAATCAACAATGCCTTATAGTTTTAACCTTGCTTTCTAGAACTATCAATACAAAACATCAAAGCAAGAGATAACCCCATGGGAAAAAAGAGCCCAGGCAGTATTATTTAGCAATCATCATTGTCATTAACCCGGTGCATCAAAGGCTCCCACCTACGGTAGGGTAAGGGGCAGTATTATTGTAGTAATGATAATGAAATTTCAGCAGCAATTTTTTAGTGCTACAAACTTCACGTTGCATGCTCTTAGAATATCTTGTAGGATGGTCGGTATTTTAGGCAAGTGGTAAAATATTGAATGAGATGAGAATTTCTGGACGATCTATTCGTCTAACTAAATCTCTCATCTAACTGGAAAAATGTTAAATTTTCAATCTTGTAAGTTTAGTAAAAAACCAATTCACTCTATTTAGTAGTGCTAATTCTACCTTTCATTGATTGATTATTAGTTTATTCATTTCACATATTAATAAATTATCTATTTCTCTCTGGCATTGCTCCTCATTCCATGGGCATGTTTATTACAAAAATAGAACACGAAAAGAAATAACTATGCTTGTCGCATTCTAAACTTTAAATGCATCCTGAAATTGTTAATGAAGAGCATGAAAAAGAGGTTAGGTAGTATTAGTGTATTGTTGTAGTAATGATAATCTAATTTCAGGGGCAGGTCTCTTTGGTGCTACAAACTGCGTGTTGTGGGGTCTTAGAATGTCTTGGAGCCTCGTAGGTTGGCCAGTATCTTAGGCAGGTGATAAAATATTTAATGATATGTCATTTCCAGACTGTCTATTTGTCTACCACTCTAACTAAATTTCTATATTTTAGGTGCTTCTGTGTGTGTAGAGATGTTATTTTGGCACTATAGCTATTGTACTGAAAACTCTGGAATCAATACTTTCAACAATGCAAATGTTGCCAAATGATAGTCGGGTAGAATCTGGTTCTGAAACAGAGCCCATCTTAAACCGCTCTAATGTTGCAATGGAATCTTCACATGCAATTGAAATCACAGTGAGTGAGGATTGTTCTGCCAGTTCTGATGATTCATCAAGTATTGAAGTTGATGGAAGTGAATCGCTGTTAAATTTAGAGCAACCACAATGCCGTATATGCCTTGATACTGAAGGTTTTGTATGCCTGTTGTGCCAGTAATGCTGGTTCAATCGATTGCTAAGCTATTAACGCCATAACGGTTAAAGCTTGTGTTGGTTTAAAGGATGCTTTTACTTTATGTACTCATGTATTTGGGATAGCGTAATTATGAATGCAGAGTGTGGGTGAAAGCAACACATATTGCTCACAAAACGCATCTATCTTTTTTGCATTTTTTAGGTGAAGATTTGATTGCACCTTGCCATTGTAAGGGAACCCAAAAATATGTCCACAGGTCATGTCTTGATAATTGGAGATCTACAAAGGTAATACTCTGTATATGCTTATCTTATTTCCTTTGTTCAGAACATCAGGTGTAATGCTCCTCCCTTTTCTTCAATTAAGTCTTTTTGATGTATGAAGTTTACAAAATAAAGGCATAAAAGATACATCTTAATCACGTCACACTTAGAAAAGTCATGAACTATCCCTAACTGGTAATTAAGTTAAAAAACAAAACTGGTGATGTCGTGAATTTGAAAGAAGGAAGCTGGACAGGGGAACAAATAAATTATATAGTGACTAGCAACATCCAGAAAGACATCAAGAATTATGAGTAGACAAGTACTAAATACCATATAGAAGCTCGTGAAGAAGAGAATAGAGAAGGGGGTTGTTACGGCATGGTCGCCAGGTTCCATCGCCTTGCCTGAAGTAGACTAGGCAACTGCATCATCGTCCAAGTGTAGTCCAGACGTAGATTAGACGAAAAGGGCTATGCTAAATTTGGAGTTCAAAAATCCATTAAACCAAGCCCCAAAAAATAGAAACTAAAATTTGGAAACTCCTTTAGTTAGGTGTACTAATTATGATGCCAGATTTAGGAGTATTATAAATACAGCCCAACTCTTACTTTGTAACTTTGCAAGACTGATATGTTGAACTCCAGTCGAAGAAGTCTGACAGTTTCAGAAGCCAGAATGCAGTCCAAATCGTCGGCTGAATCTTCCTTCCGCTGGTCCCGTTTTTCTTTCTCCTTTCGGCTGAAGTCTGACAGTTTTTCCTCCTTATCGTTTTCTTCTTGCACAGTATATTGCCAGTCCCTTTTAATTATGTATGTTATATATAGGATTTATAATTTTTTGTCATTTATTTATTTATTTATTTATTTATTTATTTATTTATTTATTTATTTATTTATTTATTTATTTATTTATTTATTTATTTATTTATTTATTTATTTATTTATTTATTTATTTATTTATTTATTTATTTATTTATTTATTTATTTATTTATTTATTTATTTATTTATTTATTTATTTATTTATTTATTTATTTATTTATTTATTTATTTATTTATTTATTTATTTATTTATTTATTTATTTATTTATTTATTTATTTATTTATTTATTTATTTATTTATTTATTTATTTATTTATTTATTTATTTATTTATTTATTTATTTATTTATTTATTTATTTATTTATTTATTTATTTATTTATTTATTTATTTATTTATTTATTTATTTATTTATTTATTTATTTATTTATTTATTTATTTATTTATTTATTTATTTATTTATTTATTTATTTATTTATTTATTTATTTATTTATTTATTTATTTATTTATTTATTTATTTATTTATTTATTTATTTATTTATTTATTTATTTATTTATTTATTTATTTATTTATTTATTTATTTATTTATTTATTTATTTATTTATTTATTTATTTATTTATTTATTTATTTATTTATTTATTTATTTATTTATTTATTTATTTATTTATTTATTTATTTATTTATTTATTTATTTATTTATTTATTTATTTATTTATTTATTTATTTATTTATTTATTTATTTATTTATTTATTTATTTATTTATTTATTTATTTATTTATTTATTCAGTCTGAATTTATGCATTGCTATAGTATAAAAGAACCTATTGCCTCCTTTACTAAGTACAGTGCTACAGATATACACTTTCACTTCCTCTCTCTTTCTTATAGGATAATAAAAATACTGCCAACTAGCCTATTGAGTTCAAATAGTAACACACCCATAACTGTTTATGTAAGCATTTAAATCGAATTTCTTGCTGAGAAAGTGTTTGTATTATTATTGGTATATATTTGATTAGCTTTGTTATAAATTTCAAATTTTGAATTTTGATTTTTTTGTATTCAATAGCCAATAGTATTACTGCCTCCGTCCCACTAACATTAGGACATGTAGAGGACTTGTTATCTCTTTCCTAACTACTTTTCTCTTTAAGTATTTAAAAACATGTTTGTGTAATGGGTGCAATAAATTTGATGTTCGAGCTTCACTCCCCCCAAAAGGAAACAAAAACAGACAAAGTATTGCCCATAATCACTAGTCCCAATGTTACTCTCCTGGATTGTTCTGTTAGACGGGTATTGGTATATATTTGGTAAGTTTAAGAATTAAGAGCAAATTTTTTAAAATGCATATAAATGCTCATTGATGGCTTCACATATTTGCTAACTCAACATATGATTAATCAATTATGCTAATTCAATTTAATTATTTTACACATAGTCTCCACGTTTTTCCCATATCACCTTGTGTGCTCATTAGTGAGTTGCTACTCGCTACATGCTCAATAAAATTATTGATATGAAGAGTGTGCATCAATGTTCACGGAGATCAGTTGCAATTACCTTATCATTCACCTTCATTTTTTTGAATATTTAAATGAACAATAAACAATGCTACATTGTCAATCGAATTTGTGCCAACAATTTACAGTGTTTGTGTGTTAATTTTTCCAGGAGGGTTTTGCTTTCGCTCATTGTACAGAGTGCAAGGCAAAGTTTATATTGAGGGCAAATGTACCACCTGATCGGTGGTGGTTGAGGTTGAAATTTCAGTTTCTTGTTGCAAGAGACCATGCTTTCATTTTTCTTGTTGTCCAGCTGGTATATAGTCTTCCATTTACTTATTGCCTTCTCTAAGTTGCTGTCCTCTCTTCAAGGGTAGTACTGTCTTTGGTTAATAAAAAGAGCTTATACTACAGATTGTAGCAATCTTAGGAGTGCTAGTGTACAAATTTTATGGAGAGGAGTTGCGGGAAATGTTTGGTTATGAAGAACATCCATATGGATTTTATACAATGGCAGGTATACCATACCATGGTTTATTGTTTTTTTTGTATTTCATTTTTGCATTTAACTGGTATTTGAAGAGGAAATGGTAGCATAATTTCCAAGCACTCTATTTTTCTGTGTTTTATTTATTTAACATTTTCTTTTCACAATGAAATCTCTCCTTATTTTGATAGTTTTTAAACCTTGCAGTTTTGGCAATCGTGTTGGTTGGATTGCTTTATGGTTTCTTCATAGCAATAATTTGTGGACAGAGGATTAGTGAACGTCACTACTATGTTCTTGCAAAACCTGAACTTACGAAGGTGTATAAGTTGTTCATAAGATCATTATCATCAGTTCCTTAATCCCAACTAGTTGGGGGTCGGTGGCATGACTTTAATTTAGCTGCTAAGATTAGTTAGCACTTAAAGTTCATGCAAAAAGTATAGCGGCAAAGTTCTACACTGGATGCCCTTGTTCCAACCTTCTTGAGAAGAAAGTAAGAAGAAATAATGAGATGAAATTCTAAAACCGTCCTCACCGTAAGTTATTTTCACTTGCATGGAAAATATGATAAGACATGGATGAAATGAGACCATTTTTATTTTCATGCTCATAATTTCTGGGGGTGTGCCATGGTCATCATTATGACAATAGTCTTGACTCTTGAATATACTCTTGCCTCAGTGTGGGAAAAGAAAATCTAGAAGTGTTGACCTGCATTGTTTACTTCAATTACTTGTGATATTTAAATGGAAACACACTCTTTTGGGATCGAACATAAGATAGTACCAGAGGCATATTGCTTTTTGTTTGCCTGGCTCATCATCTTGTGGCCTTTTTTGTGGTATCTTTTCTGTCGTTTTTTCATGATATACTTCACCGGTTCAAATTTTCATTTTTAAATTGGTAGGAATATGTTGTAGAAGACCGGGATGCATTGAGTAAGATTGTCCCAGAACTAGACCCTAGCCACGTGTCAGAGCTAAGGATGTTGGGCCTATATTAAGGTATGAACTTAGCTTTTGCTCATTAATCAGACGCATATTCCTTTTCATTTTATCTTAATTTTATCATTAAGTAGGAAGACATTGGGGGGTTGTTGATTGTATGAAAAGTTGGGAGTGTTACAAGCCTGGGGTTAGGAACAGTAGGAAGTTGTATATTTCCTAGACTCCCAGTGCGTGGCTATAGCTGGTGCTGGTAGAATCTACCCCAGTGTTAGGTTAGTGGAGCCAAATGGGGTGCAGGGGGGATGGTAATTTTGGGGGGATGTGTTTAAAGGCTTAAATGTGCTTTTGACAGGCAGGATAAAAACTGAACACAGTTTTATACAATTGTCTTGTTAAAGGCTGTAATGTTTTCTAGTAAACCTTCTTTAACTAGAGCTATGATTACCAGAATTCAAAAGCACCACTTAAAATCACTTTTACTATGATAGTATGATAAGTCTTATTACTCAGAACAATGTTTGGGCCTATCTTATGCAAATTTCTTAACTCGCAGGGTTTCACCTTCCCATGACTTAATGAGGTAAAAATTCTACTTTCAACAGAATTTACGAACAATGAAATATACGTTTATGCACGGCATCAAAGCTGGCTCGCAAGAGTCCAGTCTCGAAAACTAGAAATACATATTTTACTCATTCTTGCTCTATGAGGAAGCATCTACTGCAAAATGCAGTTAGGAGAAACTGAACATTTGGGAGTCCGTATTCAAAGTTTTAATTTTTCTCCATTTTCTTTTTGTAGATTAGTACTTTAGTTGGTATGTTTGCAAAAAAATGGTTTGTTGATCTGTGTTGCTTATTGAGTTCAGTTAGCCAAAGTTCCACTTTCCATTTACTACGTATGTTGTACAGATGGAAGGATTTTAGTTCTTGGGTTGAAGTTCCAACATTGTAGTATTAGTGAATATGGATATCTTTTTTACTACACATGGTTTAAATTTGGATTAGTCCAATGATAAAAATGCAAAGAGATTTCAGTAGGAAGGGCATGTTTTTGGTAACCCAAATTTTCATTGGATTCAATCTAAACCTCGATTTCAGTCTTTCAGACCATCCGGTCATGATTAAAAAATCTACAAGTGAAATTCGCTAGACACTTTAGGGTGAGATCATAGATGGATTGGAACATGAATTGTTAGACTGACTATTTATTGAAAATTGGCTGTGATCACTTATAGGCTATAGCCCAAGCACAAGTGCACAAAACGTAGGAAAATATATTTAGACAAAAACACAGATCTTTGGTCACGGCTTTACACAAACGATTACTAAGCCATTAGCGTCAACATTCTATCATGTGTTGTGACTTCTGAAGACCAAAGCTTATTTTTATGTGTTGTGACTTCTGAAGACCAAAGCTTATTAGCAAATTGATGTACCCTTTCGCTCAGTTTATGACTTTAAAGTAAAGATGCTACGTTTATTGTATTGGAAAAAGCAATAATATTGTTTGAAAATCTTTAACTGAAAGGGTATACACAGAACTTTTTACAAGTATTAAATACATGATCTAACTAATTATATACTTCTTTTTTTGCAACACTTCCGATTTTATGTTCGTCAATGCACAACTTTGATCATAAATATACGGAGTATTTAATTATCTATTCTAAAAAGATCACTTTTTGAAAATTTAAAATAAGAAAAATTTAATAATATTTAAAAAAAAGTATCTTCTAGTGCTTTAGTAAATAAAACGTAATCAAAGTTAAAAACATGAATAGTGTAAATTTCTAATGTTGTAACTCTTTAAGAACATGGATAATAGTTTATTAGTTATTTGTAGCTTAAACCCAATAAAGTAAAAAACGAATTCTCCTCTCTCCAACCAAACTGGCCCTAAGTGATTTTAATTCAATTATATGGTTGTTACTTTTTTTTTGAAGAGGAAACAATTAACTATCATTCGAATCGGAGTTTAGTACATGAATAATGAAAGGAGGTAAATCATCCCAATAAATACAGTCAGACATAGAA